CCTTGAACTCAAGAGAGCTGCCTGCTTCTGCCTCCAGAGTGCTGATACTAAAGATATGAGCCACCGTGCCCAGCTTTTTTATTTTTCCTTACATTTTTGTTTTCTTTTTGGTTTTGGCACACCTTTCACTAACCACTTACCCGGTCCCAAGTGAGATTAGTGTCAGGAATGAGTGTGGGCTTAGCCACACACACATGGGCCAAGAGAGCAAGCTGGAGCTTCAGCCAGGGGTGGGCGCAGGGGTGGTAGAGGAAGGCAACGCCATCAAGCTGGAGAAAAAGGTGAGGTATCAAGCCAGGCCAAGTTCCCTTCCCAGAGGGTCCTAATTCCTCCCATCCTAGGTGCTAGGAGGAAGGGGTATCAGAAGGGGCCCTTCCACTTGTAGGAAAGGAGGAGGGCCTTGGGTATTGATGTGCATGCACTCCTTTTGAATTCATCTCTTCTATCAAGTGCAGCTTCTGGGCAGGACAGCATGGCTGATTAACCCTGTCAGACTCAGAACATGTGCCCTTGCCCCCACCTGCACTTACTGCTGGGGGCAATACCAGGGTCTTACTGCCACTCATCTACAGTCTTCAGCTGTATTTCTCTAAGTGTGCAATAATGGCTCTACAAGTATCCCTCAGATAAAGATCAAGTCCTCTATTGATCTAATCCATGCCATCTCCCAGGAGTATCCAAACACACGGGACTTCCCAATCTCAGGATGGGAACATTTCATAAATTCTTGCCAGATGCTATAAATGATACCCAAAAAGAACTCCTGGGCCTTGAGGAATGTGTAAGAAATGCAGCCAGGCAGTGTGGTGTACACCTTTAATCCCACTACTCAAGAAACAAAAGCAGGCAGATATCTTTGAGTTTGAGGCCAGCCTGGTCTACAGAGTGAGCTCCAGGATGGCCAAGGCTGTCACAGTGAACACATACACACAAAGAAGAAAGAAAGCCTCATGAATACCTGTAATCCTAGCCATGTGGGGCATAATGTAAGAAGATCACAAGTTTAAGGCCAGCCTAGGGTACCTAGGGAATACCAGGCCAGCTTAGGCTGTGAGGCCCTACCTCAAAAGACCAGGCAGTAGAGGGGATGAAATTCAGGGAAGCAAAACAACCATACAACTCAAACTGGTATGTGTGGAAGGTGGGTAGTGGTGGGGGATCTGGGCTGTCCCATCAAAGCCACATCCTCAACTGTCTCTTCACCTTTTCTCCTTAAATTGTGAAACAAAGGCTCACAAAGTTGCCCAAGTTGGACTTGAGTTTACTTTCAAGTGGCTGGGATTATAAAAGTTCAGCTTGTTTAGTTAAATGTTACCAGAGGGTGGGATAAAAATTGGACAAGTTTTAGAAGGCAGGGGGTGCTGTGACTCCTGCACAGAGCTTTGAAAACAGTTGGAGCTAGACAGCTGCATGGTGGTGGAGCTGTGCCCCAGGCCCTGATAGGCCAGTAGAAAATAAACCAGAGGAAACAAAGTAGGTATCTCAAGGGAAATGAGCCAGAATCCATATGTATGGTGAGGGCTCATCGTGATCAAGATAAACTAATTGAAAAATCAGATGAAAATAATTTAACTAAGCTGGCAAGCCAAGCAGGGCAGCTCAGTCTTGGCAGGTGGGCTACAGTCAGATGGTTTCTTTTTTGTTGTTTGGTTGGTTGGTTGGTTGGTTGTTGGTTTTTTGAGTCAGGGTTTCTTTGTATTCCTTTGGAGCCTGTCCTGGAACTTGCTCTATAGACTAGGTTAACCTCAGCTTCAGAGATCCACCTGCCTCTGTCTCCTGAGTGCTGGGATTAAAGGTGCGCACCACCAACACCTGTCGTCAGATGGTTTCTGAGCAGTGAAATAAGAGGGATCCCAAGCAACGGAGAGGTAGCCAAGTTTGGTGTGTGTTCACTGTAATCCCAGCCCTTCAGGAGGTAGAGGCGGGAGGATCAGGAGTTCAAGATTATCCTTGGCCACATAGCAAGTTTAAGGCCCAGTTTGGGCTACACGAGACCCTGTCAGAGAAAAGGGGGAGGGGGCTAGAGATATGGCTGGGTGATTAAGAACACTTGCTGCTCTTGCAGAGGATTTGGGTTTGATTCCCACATGGCAGCTCACAACCAACTGTAACTCCAGCTCCAGGGGATATGCCAACTCTCCTGAACACACATACACACAGGCAAAATTCATACCCATAAAATAAACCTAAACTTTTTTTTTTCTTTTGATTTTTCAAGACAGGGTTTCTCTGTATTACTTTGGAGGTTGTCCTGCAACTATTTCTGTAGACCAGGCTGGCCTCTAACTCAGAGATCCGCCCACCTCTGCCTCCCAAGTACTGAGATTAAAGGCATGTGCCACCAACACCTGGCTATCCTAAACAATTTCTAAAAAGAGAAATATTCATGAAAGTTGAACCCAGTCTACAGCATAGTAAATCACACACTCCTAACCCAGTACAGTGTTTTGTGACACAAAGCACTGTTGCACACTATTCATCCACTTCTTAAAGCTGAAGAGACAAAATGCCATCTCTTACAGAAAACCAGAGCTTAGAAAAACAAGAGATCTCTCAGTCATACCCAGCACTGGGATGTGGGTTGTTTTTGCTACCTACAGAGTTCCCGTGTAGTTACCTGCCACACATCTAGCTACTCAACAGCATTCCTGACACTGCACTAAAGAGCTGTGGCTGTCACTTGTCCAAGGATGGGCAACTGGAAGCCTTCCCTCTTTCTGCACAGTGATGAGGGATGGAGCTGAGAGCCAAGGGAGACAGAGTAACCTGCAAAGAGCATTCTGACTTCAGGGACGGAGACAGAGACGGGCCCCTCGTTGTACGTACCTGCCCTTGTCTCACCTGCCTGTGTGTCACTCTTGGTAACACCTACACATGGGAAAAGAAGAGAGCTGCTGGGAACTTCGCAGTGGGAATGAAGAAGGGGACAACCAGCCCCAAGCCCTGCTGAGTGAAGATGCTGGAGACCGAGGGCAGGAGGAACCAACAGATGTCCCAGTAGGGCGATCATCGAGGGTGCAGTGAAGCCATCCATACCCCTCTCGTCCTGGGCCCTCCAGGATTCCTACCTGTGGAGGCAGCGGCCACAGGCCCTCGGGACAACCGGTTCCTGCCTCCTCCACCGCCGGCTCAACCACCACCTGTGGGTCCAAGGCGCAGAGTTGGGCGTTGGCCTCTGCGGGCCCCGCCCTTTCGGTTCCAGGACTCGGGGCGCAGACGAATGGAGGGGCCTCCGAATCCCCTCCCGCGCGTCACTACTTCCAGGACAAAGTTATAGCAAAGCGCTTTGAGATCCCCTGGCCAAGACCTCACCAGAAGCCGGTCGCCTTACCTCGCAAAGACTCAGGAGCCCCACCAGGGCTACCAGGAGCAACCGAGGCGGAGGTGGAGGAGGAGGAACCATTTCAGCTGGGCCAGCAGTCCCGCCAACCAGCAGCCGCGCCGCCCGCGCGCCCCCGCGCCCCCGCGCCGCCCGCGCGCTCACGCCGACCCCGGCTCGTTCACGGTCCTGCCCCCCTCCTGGACCGGCCGCGTGCCCCGCCCCGCCCACCGCCAGGCCCGCCCCCGGCCCGCCCACCGTCGGGCCGGCGCACGCGTCCTAAGCCCAGAGCCGGAAAAGTGATCCCTTAAAGATCTCTTAGAGTCCACGCCGTCCGTACCACCTCCCTCTCCTGAGGTGCGCCTCGGCGCGTTTGCCGGCCAGCGGAGCGCAACTGCATTGCCTGGGTGGAATCTGGGAATCCGGCAAAGGGCGGGAAGTGAGATCCCTAAGGACAGGGTGACCCAGGCGGTGACTTGTGTGCTCTTCTGGCAAACCCGCTAAGCACTCGGCGTGCCCTAAGTGCCAGAATTACGAAATCTTAGCTGTCCCACAGAGAGGGTCCTGGCCCTAGCGCTTCGCCTCCACGCTGCCCTATTTCTGCCCTCGCTAACTCTCGGGGGGGGGGGGGGTTAGGCTTAGGCCCCACTTACCTCTGGCTCAGAAGCCCGGTGGAAGCCGTAACTCCCCGGTGACTACTTTGTTCCCCACCTTTTCCGGGTTCCCGCTCTCGTTCTTCGCCCAAGGGTGACCTAAGAGACAACCGGAGTTCAGGCTCAGGACCCACGCGGTGGAAGAGAGACTCGATCCCCGCAGGTTGTCCTCTGACCTACACACACACACACACACTCAACGTAATTTAAAAAAAAAAAGTAAGTTTAAAATATAGCAAAAACCGTTATTTCAGGCATCTCCCACGGACCCTGACTTAAAAGGGATCCTTGTTCATCCACCTTGGCAAGAATGATCAGATGTGACCGAAAGAACCACTATGTCCCTCTGCCATAGCCCCATCGTGGGGGCTAGGCATCCCTAACCCTCTCCTCAACTTATTCTGCCAAACTTGAGGCTTTTTCTTCCGCAAGCCTTCCTGGTGAGTGGTGGTGACGCCAACTCCAGGAGAGTGTCTTTGGAGGTAGGTTGGGGAAGCCAGAAGTGTCAGCGCACCAGCACCCACATGCCCTCCAGAGAAGAGAGACTCCTCCCTGAAACCCGTGGTGAGGGTCAACGCTGAGGCGGCCTCTGGCCAGGTGCAGACATCCACTCCCACCCCGCTCCTCAGCTCTGTCGGGTTGTCGCGCAGTCGCAGGTCCAGGCTAGGGTTATCTGTGTACAGCTGACTGCAGCTGCGGCTGCGCGTGGGAATAGTGAAGCCAGCGAGGGATCAGCGTTTTACTTCTTTCTTGGGTTTTGCTACCCATCAATAGCAGCGACAGAGGGTCCTCCCTGGCAGCTAGACTTCATAGGGGGCAGGAGTAAGAGCAGGCACCTTATGCTCACTCAGGTCTCCAAGCCTCAGTCTCCCGAATCCTTTGCTGACCCTCCTCCTTATTCCCCTCTTCTGGTTCGCCCGCACGTCCCCACTCCCCCTTTGTGACCAGGATCTGTAAACCTCTGCTCCAACTTGTCGCAATCGCTGTACAAAGGGCTGGGGGCGGGAGTGGGGGGCGGGCGAGGGGAGCTCGACCCGAACTGGCTGTCTCCGCCCGGCCCGGACCAATCCGGAGCGCGCGCGCCCTCCCGCTTGGGAGGACGCTGGGCAGCCGCGGGCCTCCGGGCGGAGCCGCGGGCAGAGCCGGGAGCCCGGGCGAGGGGACTGCACCGCTCCCCACCGCCCAGTGCCGCCCGCCCCCCCGGAAACTGTCCTGCCAGGCCATGCTTCCGTGGGCGGCCGTCCTAGCGCTGCTGCTGGCGGCGCTCGCCCTGCTCCTCCTGCGACCCTGGAAGCGCGCCGTCGGAGCGGGGACCTCGATCCGGGACCATGAGGAGCAAGAGGCAGTGAGCAGAGGCCCCACCGAGCAGTTCAGAGACCGGCGCGAACCGCTCCCCGGGGGCTGCAGCCTCATTTGCAAGCCCTCGGCGCTGGCCCAGTGCCTGCTCCGTGCCCTGCGACGCTCGGCGGCGCTCGAACCCGCCCGGAGCTCCTGGCTGTCGGGGCCCCACCTGCAGACCTTCTGCCACTTCATCCTGCCCGTCGGGCCGGTCCCTGAGCTAGCCCGTGAGTACCTGCAGCTGGCAGATGATGGGCTGGTGGCCCTGGACTGGGTCATAGGGCCTTGTGCTAGGGGCCGCCGGGTCACTAATTCTGGAGGCCTCCCCCCGGTGCTGCTAGTAATTCCCAATGCGTGGGGAAGGCTCACCCGCAATGTGCTGGGGCTCTGCCTGCTCGCCCTGGAGCGCGGCTACTACCCGGTCATCTTCCACCGCCGCGGCCACCACGGCTGCCCGCTGGTCAGCCCCCGACTACAGCCTTTCGGGGACCCGTCCGACCTCAAGGAGGCGGTAACTTACATTCGCTTCCGACACCCGGCGGCCCCCCTGTTCGCGGTGAGCGAGAGCTCCGGGTCCGCACTACTGCTGTCCTACTTAGGGGAGTGCGGCTCCTCCAGCTATGTGACCGGCGCTGCCTGCATCTCGCCGGTGCTACGCTGCCGCGAGTGGTTCGAGGCTGGTTTGCCTTGGCCCTATGAGCGTGGGTTCCTGCTGCACCAGAAAATCACTCTTAGCAGGTGGGTACCTGGAATAGGAATCCCAGCTCTGCCTGGTATGGAAGCAACCCATGGGTAGACGGGGGCAAAGTTCTCACACGGTTTCCAAAGCTGTCCAAACGCCATAATCGAGACAGAACTAGGAAAGTTGGTTTCAAAGCCTCATGGCCGCAGTCAGTATCATTCTACCGCAGCAAAGCCTCCTGCCAGGGCCCCATCAGTCCATCCCAGTCTCTCGTGTCCTAGCAACCGGTGGTCAGCAGAGGCCTGCACCTGACATTTACCACTTAGTCCATAGCCAGATAGGTCAGCAAACAGAGCTCTGGAAGCAATTGCAGCCGATTATCTGTCCAGAATGTTTGCTTTCAGACTCCGAGCAAGGAGGTGGCAGAAATGAGAAATGTGGCAGCATTTGATTTATTCAAATTCTTTAAACTGACACATTTCTAGGTGAGTAAACAACAGTTAGTTATGTGTTCTTTTTGAGGCAAGGCCTCCTGTAACTCAGGCTATATAGCTGAAGGCTCCCTAATCTCCAGATCTTCGTCTCCGTCGTCTAAATGCTGAGATTACAGGCATCAGGCACCACACATCTACCAGAACAAAAAAACACTAAACTTTCAAACCTCCAAAAGTAGAACAATTTTAACACCAGGCAAACTGTTCCACAGAAAACACTTGAATGACATTTCCAGTCTTTCCTAAGAGATGGCAAATGAGGTCAGAGGCATGCTGGCAACAAATAGAAAAACTCAGGACATGGGGTCAGACCTAGCTGGGTTCAAATCCTGAATTTACAGAAAATTTGCTAGCCCCTTTAAGACTGACTGACTTCTCCTTTAGGTAAATGAAGTTAATAATAACACCTCTGCAGGTGGTTGTGATTAAATGAAAAGGCAAGAATCTGACTGGCATCAGGTGGTGGCAATTAGGGTTTTTTTTTTTTTTTTTTTTTTTTGCCATTTTTACCTCCTCTTTTGAAAAGGTCAAACCCTGAAGCTGAATGAAAAGTGAGAGGTGCTGCCATGGCAACTCAGAGGTTTGGTACAAAGTATTCTCATCTAGCCTAATTGCCATAGTTTCCACTACAAAATGACCACCATCAGTGTTTACCATAGGCACCAGCCAGAAGCTGGGTAAGGGAAACGAAGAGGAAACCTGTGCCTTTGGGAACCACCCTTCCCGATGAAGTCTGGGGTTGAAAACTCAGGCATAAATCTAAATTCAGCTGGCTGAGGCTAGATTAATCTACCTAAAGGACTGAGCTGAGCTGCTCACGCTGGCTTCCTTGTGACCCTTCCATGCCCTCTCCAGGCACCTCCTCTAATGCAGTAGTTTGCAGGCCCCTATTGGGGAAACCATCTAGTGATTAATTGTAACCCTGTTGTTTCCTCTACCATCAAGCACTTGCTAGGTTCAGTTGCTCCAGGTGTACCCGGCCAAGGTTATAACACCAGGCATGTACGTCAAGATAAAAACACAGGTGCTAGACAATAGTGGCCCATGCCCTTAATCCCAGCACTCAGGAGGCAGAGGCAAACCGATCTCTGCAAATTTGAGGCCAGCCTGGTCTACAGAGCAAGTTTCAGGACAGCCAGGGCTACCCAGAGAAGCCCTGTCTTGAAAACAAACAAACAAACAAAAAACCCACAAAGGCAGTGAATGGGATAAGAGAGTGGTTGGCTGTGGAAGAGGTGTCACCTCTGGTTTGGACAGTCTGAAACAGTGAGTTCTCTCAAGATGGACCTCAGAGGACACAGGTCATGTGTTCCTTGAAAAGGGTGGAAAGTTGAATTACAGGGAGAGCTATCTATCCCTGTAGAACAACAGCTGTGAAGTCAAATGGCAAGACTGGTGGCAGGTGTGACAGAGACGGAACGATCACCTCTATGGAGAAGTAAAACACCTTCGTTTTATTTGAAAATCTTCCAGTTTTAAATGATGGCCACTGTATGGAAGGGACTTGGGAGGCTGGAGAGATTGCTCAGTGGTTAAGCACCATTGCTTTTAAAGAAGAACCTGATCCAACTCCCGGCACCCACAAGGCGGCTCACAGCCATCTGTAACTCCAGTTCCAGGGGAGCCAACAACTTTGCATGGGCACATGGTACACATGTGTACACACAGACAAAACATTCATGCACAAATAAGTCTTTAAAAGGGGGGTGTTTGTGTGTATGTGTGACAGAGAGACAGAAGGGGAGGGAGATAAGGGGAAAGGGAGCAAGGGAGACTTACTTCATTGTCACAGAGATCCACCAGGCCTCTGCCTCTTGAGTGCTGGGATTAGAGACCTGACCTGCACCACCAGCCCTAGTTCAAAAGGCTTCATGGCCAGACTCTGGCCTGGAGACTGTATCCGCAGTAACTTTGCCTGTCTTCTGATGTTCTGACTTTTCTCTCTCACTCTCCCATTCACCTGCTGTGTGGCCAGGTATGCCTCGGCCCTGGAGGACACAGTAGACACGAGCAAGCTCTTCAGGAGCGTCTCCCTGCGAGAGTTTGAGGAAACCCTGTTCTGCCACACCAAGAGTTTCCCCATCAGCTGGGATACCTACTGGGACCTGAATGACCCACTCCGGGACGTGGATGAGGCTGCTGTACCTGTACTGTGCATCTGCAGTGCTGATGACCCGGTGTGTGGACCCCCAGACCACACTCTGCCCACGGAACTCTTCCAAAGCAACCCTTACTTCTTCCTGCTGCTCAGTGACCATGGAGGCCACTGTGGCTTCCTTCGCCCCGATCCCATGCCAGCATGGAGCCACGAGGTCATCTTAGAGTCCTTCAAGGCCCTGACTGAATTCTTCCGAATGGAAGAGAGGATGAAAGGGCTGACCAGGCGCAGGACTTCATTCTTAGGGGGGCGGCGTCGCTGGGGAGGCCTGCAGAAGCGAGAGGCCTCCCCCTCTTCCAATCTGGAGGAGATCTTCAGCTGGAAACGTTCTTATACCAGGTGAGGCTGGCCTGGCAAAGCCCTTACACCTTCAAGAAAGACCCCAGCAGCTGGAAGTCTGAGGACTGAGCTGGGGAGCTCTGCTGCTCCCTTCTCTCTAAAACTGACTATAGAGCTTGAGCACACTTGAGAGCTGCCCAGGCTCTGGGAAACACATTCCTGCTCAGCCCCTGGTCACTGTCTCCTGTCATCAAAGTCACAAGCCAAGTAGCAGCACGGGCTAACTAGACTGGTGTATGTGTGTGTGTGTGGGGGGGGGGATGCTAGCTGTCCTTGCTGTGACTCCAGGGAAGATGAGCTTATGCAAGTCAAGGGGTGGTTCTGTCCCACATAAATAATCAGCTTGGTGACTCTGAGTCTCGGGCTGGAGCCACTTGGTACAGAAAGGACAGGATGTTTGTGTCTCAGCTGCCCTCCCTCATGTGCTCTGCGGTTGTGGTTCAGCTTTAAGTTCTGTATCAGCAGCTGGGGAAGCAGGCTGTCAGAGTTGCCTAGCTCTCCCCAGTCTGAGAAGGCAGCAGAGGCAGGACATGCTGGGCTGAGGCCAGCTTGGTAAGAGCTGGCAAGGGTAGACTGTGATTCTGTCCCTGCCTCTCATGATGACTGGGAGCTCCAGGGATGAGCTAGCCCACCCCTCCAGCCTGGGCTGAGCCATCTCCCAGATTATTTTCAGAATGGGAGGTGCTGTTGCCCAGGGTCTAAGAGTTCTGCTAGCCCATGGTTGTGGTAGCCAGGTTACGCCAAATATACACTGGGTTCAGTTCTGATTCAGGAGATTCCTCCAGAGAGCTGCAGCCAGATGTGTTCCTCCTGAGATGTGACAAGCAAACCCTCATAACAGGATTTCTAACCACTTCTAGTGCCAGCTTGTTCCCTTTCCAGAGTCAGGTGAGAGATCTGGGGTAAGAGGAGAGAAAAATCCCAAGAGCTTGATGAATAAAACCCAGCTAGCTATTTATGAGTATCTCACATTACCGCTTTGTCTGCTCAATTATTCAAAAGGCAGGAAAGCTGATTTCTGGATCCAGCCACGCAGCCACTAAGTGGGTGTTTGGTTTTATGAGGAATAATGCTGAAGACCAGAGGACAATAAGGTATAGCACACAGATTGACTTACATAGCCAGGATTGTATTAAGCATTTAAAAATCATTTTGACAATTGGATATCGGGGTCCATGTGTTAAAATTCAAAATCAACTATGAAATTATATATATATATATATATATATTTGTGGTGCTTGGATCTCAATTGCTAGGCAAACACTCTACCACTGAGCTACATAAATCCAGCCCAGAAATTACTACATAGACCAGGTTGGTCTCAAATTCCTAGATCTACCACTGGAATTAAAGGCAGATGCTAACCCACCCAATCTTCTACTCTTATTCTTTTAGATTAAATAAACTGAACTAACTCCAAGATCCAATACAGACAACATCCAATTTTCTAAGGCACATATCCTGCTGTGAAAGGTTTTCCCCATTTTCTCTACCTCCAGCCCCCTCCCCCACACCCTTTTCTGGCATTCTTTCATCATTTCTGAGCAAAAGAAATAAAAAGGAACTGAAGTCTAAAGAGGAAGCTTTCTGTCGCTGGTCAACCACAGTCATGGCAGAAGGTTTACAGGGAGGGAGGACTATGGACTATTGGCATGAGGCCACCCAGCCCTGCCCCCACATCTAGGACAGGGATTTCAGTTAATTAGGGTCTTGCTGTTCCCATATGCATTGGATCCTCAGAAATAATGGTTAGCTAAGAAGCAGGTGATAGTTCAACCCTAAGGCTTAATGGTCCCTAATGGCAAAAATCTGAGCTTTTTTCCCCCCCTTGTTCAAGCAAGCTTGCTAGGGAGGGGAGTGTCACTTGCAGTAATTTTTTTTTCTTTTATGGACCTAGGGGTTAAACCCAGAGCCTTGCACATACCAGGACCCCAAGCCCCACTGATTTAACCCTAAAACATTGGCCCTTCATGCTCCTCATACAGGGTATCCTCACACAGGGTATTCTCAGACAGCAATTTTTTATTTTTTGAGATGGCATCTCTCAAAGTACCAGTGGCTGGCCTACAACTCACTATATATAGACCAGGCTGGCCCCAAACTCAGAGATCTGCCTACTTCTGAGGTGGGATTAAAGGTGTGTAACACCATGTCTAGCTTGCATAATTAAAAAAAAAAAAAACAACAACCTTTTCTGTCCATTACTACACAAAGACCAGGGCTGAAGACTGGAGATGAGGGCTTATTTAGCATCCACAGGCCCTGGTCTCAATCCTTAGCATTGCATATACCTGTGTGATAGTTCACACTTGTAATCCCAGAGGGGTAAGCAAGAGCTTCAGAAATTCAAGGTTACCCTTGAAGGAGCTTGAAGTCAGCATGGGCTACCTGAGACCCTGCCTCAAAACAATAAAACAGAAAAGCAAACAACAACACACACACACACACACACACACACACACACAAATTAGGGCAAAGTGTCATCTTTACCAGAAAGTGTGACTTCTATTGAACAGGAAGGGTTTAGGTGACCCTGCCCCTCACCCTGATTGGGTCAGTTTGGGTAGACAGCTAATCACATGTCACAGTCGGAGGAGAGCCAGGCACACACTCCTGAGAAAGTGTGGTTCTTTGAACCCAACAACAAAACAAAAAAAGAAGCTTTAAGTTTGAGGAAGCAACAACAAACTCCAAGAAATACCAGTGAGTCTCCATATGGGTGCCAAACATGATCCTCACAAACCTTACTGTGCAGCCTTTTTTTCTCTCATTACTCACAGCACCTTCAAAGGGAGAAGATGGGCATGGGGAACCAATGGCTCCAGGAAGACTTTAGCAGGGGGAGTAGAGACTAAACTGAGGGGTCGCTTTGCCTGTAATCCCAGCCCTTGGGATTACAGGAAGATCAGAACTCAGGGTCAGCCTCAGCTGCAAGGCTCACAAAACCCAAAAATAAATAAAGCATCTGAGACACAAATGGAGGTGGTGTCCCCTGTTTCTACCAGGGACTCCGAGTAGAGGAAGCAGTTAATTGCCTGTGAAAGCCTTCTTTGATTTCTGCTAAATTCTTACTGCTGATAATCAAGAATATACTAAGGGACTGGGGAGATGGCTCAGTGGTTAAGAACGCTGGCTACTTTTCCAGAGGAACTGGGTTCAGTTCCCACATGGCAGCTCACAACTGTCTGTAACTCCAGCTTCAGGGGATCCAATACCCTCACACAGACACACATGCAGGCAAAACACATATCAATGATCAGTTTATAAAAATAAATTATTAAAAAAATAGGATGAGGAAAATCGGAAGAAGACAACATTGACTATTGGATTCATGTGTATCTGCACACGTGTGTACACATGTGCACACAAACTCAAAGCTTTAACAACTCTCATAAAGACTTAGCACTTATATAGAAGTTTCTAGTGGCTGGAGACAACAGTATGAAAAACAGAACACCACAATTCTCTTTTGAGAAGACATCCGTTTTGTGTAAAGACATCCTTCCTAAGACCCAAATGCTGTTTAAAAAGAAGGCTTACTCAGGAACTGCTGTCTTGGCTTCATGTATAACCTCAAAACCACCTGCATCACAGCCGCCTCTGTGCTCATCTTCCACCCAAACCACAGGATCCTTTGTCAGCCAGACACCCTCAGAACCACCGAGGTGCCTTCCTTTACATGTGAGCACGCAAGTGCACAAGCCATTGGCTACTCTTATATGTTAACAAGGAGATTGTGCAAGGCCAAAGTCAAGCCACAGAGGATGACATCAGAACATTTCACTAGTTATCATGGCTTGCTTTTAGGTTTGAGAAGGTAGACCAAAGGATTCTAATGTGCCCAAAACTGCAACAAATGCTTCAAACTAGCAAGTCTTGTGTTTTCAGTGAGATATTCAAGCTAAACCGCTCTTTGGCATGTATGACAGTACATTCACTAAGACCTGAGAATGTCGTAGGTCCAGATGAAGGTCTCTTTTTAAGATTTATTTTTATTATTTATATATGCATATATATACCACGAATGTGCATACATATGTATGTATGCATGTATTTACGTTTGGGGTGGGTCATTGGTCCATGTGCAGGTGCCTGAGGTGAGGCAGTGAACTCCTGGAGTAGGTGGTTGTAGGCTATCTCATGTGGGTGCTGGGAATGGAAACTGGCAGTGCATGCTGTTGGCCACTTAGCCACCTCTTCTTTGTGTTTTTCCTTTTCTTGGTACAGCTTTGGCTGTCCTGGAACTCATTCTGTAGACCAGGATGGTCTCGAACTTGCCTCACCTGCCTCTGCCTACCAAGTACTAGAATTAAAAGTGTGTGCCATCACTGCCCAGCTTGTTTTGTTTTTCAAGACAGGATTTCTCTGTGTAGACCAGGCTATCCAGGAGGTTGCGATAGGAGGTATTTTGAATTTGAGGCTACCCTGATACAATAGCAAAACCCTGTTTCAACTACCCACTCCCTCAAAAATTGAGTGAACCTAAGAGATATTTTATTAGTTGCCTCATAGGAAAAGACTGAAATTATACATGAGCTTTAGTATGTAAGGTGTGCCAGGATCTAGGGAGATATTGAAAGATCACAAAAGTCTTTTTTCAAATCAAATTCCTCAGCCAGAACCCAATCCTCTGACAAAGCTGTTCCTGCTTTCATATCAGACACACTGAAAATGGTGCAGTTAAGAAGCTTCACAATGGTTTCTAACTGAAACTTCTTTCTACTAGACAGACGATGTATGCAGGTGTGTGGGTCTATGTGCCAGCATGTCCCTGGGGAGGCCAGGTCTCCCTCTATTGGATGTCCTCACATTCAGTCACTGAACCTGATTGGCTTGACTGGCCAAGAGACATCAAGGATCCTCCTGCTTTCATTAATTACCCCCTCACCGACTGCTGGGGTTACAGATGCAAGCCACCACTGCACCTCGCTTTCATGTGGGTACTAGGGATCCAAACTCAGGTCCTCATGCTCAAGCAGCAAACACTTTACCTCATTGAGCCATGTTGAGACCCGAGAGATCTCAGTGATGGGGCTCAGACCTGAACCCAAACTATTGTTTGGTGGCCAGAGGACCTCA